AAAAATAACCTGTTGTGCTCCCTTTGTTTCCGCTGCCTGGAAGTGTTGAGTGCCAAAAGAGTAACACTTGACATTTGAGGCAGACAAACATAGCCTACAGATTCTGTGATGGCTTTGCGACCAGCTAGAATGTTTTAATCATGCCTGTTCTTGTCAACACTGGAAGCTGCTTCTAAACAAGCAAGCGAAAATAAGGGAATTAACTTTAATTTCTCGCTCCTTTTCTGAGGTTAGAGGCTCCATAGAAGCAAAAAAAATCTTGTAGTTTCACTGTTTTTCTCTCCAAGACCCACATTTTCTTACAAATTCACATTCTTGCTATCATGGTGGGTCGAAATTAGGCAGCAAAGGCATTGCATAGCTCACATGCCTCTAAGGGTGAAGGTCTGTTTTTTTTTCTGACAGCAAAGGTAGTTCAGGAGTTTCTTGCCAAGTGGCCCTGCTTCTTATTCCTGCCTAGATGCCACCACTTGCATGGCAGCTGTGCTGATGCAGCTGGATTTTTTGGGCTGTGTTGGAATTTAATCAAATGGTCCAGGTTAAATATATCACTCTTCACCTCAAAAACAACAAAAAAATTGATGTCATTCCAGTGACATTCCCATTCTTAGCACAGCCTTGCAAACAGCTGCAGTGGTGCAAATGGACAGTGAGCCAGGGAGGGAAAGCCGGAAGAGGCGGATGGGGAGCCAAGGGGCACGACCTTCTTTAGTTATTGCTGTTACTCCAGCAAATATTCATATAGCTGTCCAAGAGGACTATTTGTAACCAACTAGTGTATCCACCTACATAGCTGTAAGAAGAAATCAGAAATATCATAGTCGCAAAGCCTTCAATCAGTACAAAATGAAGGACCATATTTGTTCAAAAATGCGAGAAGGTAATTTTGGCTTTGCAGAATTGTCTTTGCTATTCTCCTATGACCAGCACAAAGCCAGCAATTATTTTTTTGTTTTCTTACTAATTACACAGAATTCTGATCATTTAGCCACGTTCAAGCTAGATGAAATGTAACTGTGGGGGATCTACAGCCCTGGAGGAGGAAACAGCTATTTCAGCCTTCATTTCTTTCACATCTCCTTGCAAGATGGTGTGACGCAACCTCCAAGAGGTTCATTATAAAATATACTTTATCAGAAGTCATCAAAAAATAAGTTAAAAAGATTGTTAAAACAAAAATAAAATTGAAAGAGACTATGAATACCTTTCACGTTTCCTCCCCACTTCCTACGTATAGGAAGTTGATCTTGTAGAAGGTAATGGTGCCATCAAATTTTGCAGCTCTTCTCTTAAGAGTTTTCTGATATATTGAGGTAATTATTACACCTTCCCCGTGTAATTATTTAAAAGCCAAATCTCATCTAATCTCGTCACGAAGAGCATCTCTAGAGCCAGGAGAGAAAAAGAGGCACCTTCAGAGGGCAGTCCGCCCTCTGAAGACACCTCTTTTAGGACAGCGCAAATCACCCTCCAGTGGTTCCTTTGCCACTGAGGAGGGAATACAGTTTGCCTGACTGAGTATTCCACCGTTGGATGGCTAGAGTTCGCTAACATGGGTCCCACCTACACCTAAAGGCTACGGAGATTAGTAGTGGCAGAGCAGAAAACAGCATATGGGCTTCATTCCATTTTGAATTTCGGGAAGGCCTGGACTGCCTGTTTTTCCCCAGCAAAAACAGGATAACTGCTACAAGATAAACATGATGAATGAAAAGGTTGTGCAAAGCCAGCCCACTTGCTCTTCTTCCTTCCATGCCCTTCACTAGAACCCTACAAAGATTTAGCTCATGCTTGTGCTTAAGGAAGCAAATGCTGAAAGGTGCTGAATACCTGCAAGTTCAATACGACTCATCTGTTAAAACCCTGAGATCTTGTGCTGTTTGTTCAGGCACATCCCGGCCTGCCAGCTACTGAGGGGTGCTAAACGGATTTTCAGTGGGAGTTGCGGTTGCTCAGCACCTCCATAGAGCTGGCATGTAAGTCCTGCCTGGACTTCTCTGATGGGAAAAGCAGATCCAGCCATCAGTCATATAGGGTGTGCTTCCCTCTGCTCTGTGAGCTGGCCTGGTGAAAATTCCTGGTGCTCATTAAAAGCATCATCTGATGTCACTCAACACCACGGGGGAAAATATACATCAAGGAGTAAGTATTCAGCACTCTCTCAGCATTGGCCTAATGCGGTTCATGTCATCTGAGGGAAAGACTTCAGTTATTCCTTTTTACTGTTAGAGGCCCAAATCAAGGGCTGGGACTTGTAATTCTAGGTAGTGTGGAAAACAAGTGCTACCCATGAGATCGTCACAACTCAGATCAAGTTCCAGTTCCTCACAGCCCTGAGCACACACTACCAAGCATTAAGTCCAAAACCCCAGGAAGACAAGTGGGCAGGGCTGGGACCTGTGTGACTCAGTGCACAAACAACACCAAAGTGTCACAGGTGTGAAAACACAAACCTAAAAGCCAGGGAATGGCCCCGCTGCCAGCTCTGCGCTGGCCTCACACCTGACCAGGCCTGCTGTTGGGTTGTTGCTCTTGGAAGGGCAGATGGAGGTGTTGCAGGCTGGCAGCCTGCTGAGCCCACTGAGGTGTGGGGAGAAGGCGTTCTTCATCCAGCCAGATCCGATGGGAACGTGCTGGGCTCTGGCGGTGTTGTGCTGACACAGGGAGATGTCATCTCCGTAGCATATGAAGGAGTTAACGCATGATGAAACATGGCCTTGTCAGTGGTGTAGACAAAGATTGTTTTGTTTGAAATGCAGCACCAGCAATGCTGGTTAGCGAGGTAATGCGGTCACCTTTCCCATCCAAGTCGTTATCTCTTCTGATGTGCTAGGTGCCATGCCTACCTAACATGAAGCTCATAGATCGTTCTTTGCTTCAACGTCGAGCTTGGTTTGGTGGGTATTTCTGGATAATGGCTTAGCAGAATAGCAAGTGAAGGTGATAAGGAAAGCCCGTCCTGCACAAGAGGACAAATGCCAAGATACTGGGATGGTTTTAAGTTTAAGAAGTTTGGAAGAAATATATAAAATTGCAGAAGATGACTTGTTAGATTCCTGCCAGCCTTTGTGAGGTGAAAGCAATGAGGGGTCTTCCCCGTGCTTGCTCACATACACTGCTGAGGCTCAGTGTGCACAACTGCACAAGCAGTTTCAAAACCACTTTTAGCCAGTCCAGGCACTCCAGTTGTCCTTCCAAAAATAAAAGGCAAAATTTTCAACACCACGGAGGACTAATAAACCACCCACGCTCCTGCATCTGCTGAGATGTAGGGAGCACAGAATCCCTTACGTCTCTGAAAGTCTTGCCACGTATTCACTTCTGATATCTGGCTCTGTAATCTGGGCTGGAACGCTTCAGTTGAAAGGTTTGCACTCAGCACTTCCCGGTCTGAGAGTCACATCGGCACTCAGTCAGCTCTGGCCTTTCCAGCTGAGCATTGGCCCCACAGGCCCTACTCTGCACAATGCTTTGGCACGAGCCTGGGAAAACCCTTCTCACGACACTGCTGAACTCATTTCTGAGCCCTGTGTGTTGCTGTGAGTAGGAGAGTTGCCTTGCTTTGCAGATACAAATGTAAGCCAAAGATGAGTGAGTATTTATATTAAAGCAAATTCTCAGATAGTATTTCACTGGAACAAATAGGGCAATGCCAGCCTAGAGCACCTGAGGATCCAGGTCTAAAAAGGGAACTCAGAAATCTAATGAGACACAAATGAAGAAATAGGGAGCTGCATGTTCATCCCTCCATTCTGCTTTGTCTATTGGTGTCATGGCACTCAAGCAGGGAGTAACTGAATGAAGCTCAGCAGCCCACTGGCACATAACCACCGTCCCCTCACCGATTCCTGTGGCACACTTTAACATGAAGTACTTAAAAAATGCTATGATAAACCATCAGTCCATGCTTCAGTTCCTCATAAGCACCCCTGCTTCCCTGTTTGTTCCTGGATATGTATCTTAGCATCGCTGCTTTGGTGACTTTTCCATTTTAGGATGGTATTATAGAAGATAACGTGTTAAAGGACACAACGCTGCCATTTTCCCTCTCCTGAGTGATAACAAGCAGTTCTCAGAGATCAGCCTGAACTTCCCAGAGCAAGGAGAAACCCTGCACAGAGATTTGGGCAGTATTGACCCAAAGACCATAGAACTATTTGAATTCTAAGGATGTGCAATAATGTGCATCTACAGAAAGAGAGCTAAGAAATCCTGTGTATTTTGTGCTAAATCATGGTTTTTGATGAAGACAGAAGGCATCCCTTAGCTGCCCAATCATCCATTTTTATGTGTTTTACCTTTAATAGGATTTCTGGTTCTTCTCACAAAGCCAGTGTTCATTCTCTGCCAAAGAAATGTTTCTATATATTATAGTGACCTGTTAAAGATCCGCCTACCTACCTTTAAAACATAATGACAATTCCTATGGTCAGCAGGCACAGCATATCATGTCCAGATTCCTTTTTTTTTTCTTTTTTTCTTTTTTTTTTTTTTTTTTCAGAAATGGGCTCCTTGGGCAAATAATGAGCAAAATTTGTTCTGAGATCGTAGAATGGATTGTAGAACCAGAAGCTTACATTTTCTTTTCTTGGTCTGAGTGAAATTAAAGTGAATTAAATATTAAAAGACTTTAAAGAGAAACAAAAATCGAAGCAAACTGAAGGCAGATTTCTGAATACTGATAGTGCCAAGTGGCAGTGCCCTGTGGTGATTTCTGGCTTAGCTCCAGGGATCACTGGGTCACAGGCAGTTGTCACCTTCATGCAGTGATATCCCAGAGGCCCAAATCTGGACGCAGCCCCTTGCATGGGCTCTGCTCACACAGGGTGGTCCTTCTTGGCATGATCTCCTCTGGCTTGTCAGCCTGCACTCATGAGGTTTCCACACTCCCCGCCTTTCTCCCCTTTCCCATTCCACTCTATCTTCCTGCGTGGTGTGAAATCGAGAGGGTTTTAACCCAATTTCTCTTGCCCACCTGCCAACCTCTCCTTCTTTTGCAGACTGCTTCTGAGCCATCCCCTGCGGGGCGAGCGGAAGCCGCTGTCGGGAGCAGTGAGCAGAGCACCGAGCCAACCCGACACATCTTCTCCTTCTCCTGGCTGAATTCCCTGACCGAATGAGGATCTGGAGGGGCCACCCGGGGTCAGCGCAGGAGCAGGCCCAGGAGGGGACACCTGAGCAGTGCATGCTCCCAGGAGCCCAAAACCTCCATCCACATCATACCCAGCCATGGAGACAGCAGTGTCCTGGAAGGGACGGGAGCGTGGGGACAAATGGCTGTACTTCTCTATGTAGTCAGAGTGTTTTCCAATAATTTCTTGTTTCTGAGGGAAAAACGGCATCGCTACAGATGCAGGACAAATACTCTTCACATTTTGTCATTCGTCTGCTTTTTGATGTGTCCCTGTGTGAATGTAGCTGCTCCCCAGTCCCTCTGGCAGATGCTGCTGCAGTGCTCACCAGCAGCTCCCTGTGCCCAGCAACACTGGAGATACCTCTGCGGCACCCCCAAGAGAGGGATGATGTTTGTCACCTGCGGTCCCCATGGCTTCCCATACTGGGGGAGGGAGAGGGAAACTGCCCCTTCTTCTTTCTCCCTTTGCATCTACTTTCCCGAAGGGCCTTGCTCACCGGGGCGGGGGGCGGGAGGGGGGGCACGGCAGGAGGGGTGGGGACAGGCAAACCCCATCAGCATGGGGCAGATGTTGGGGTTACAGCAGAAGTTGAACCGTTGAGGTGATTCTTCTGACAAAATTCCTGTCTTAAAAGGAGTGCTCCTAGCGCGCTGAAGGTAACAGAGTGCTTGAGGGAGACGGGAGGAGCGCTCGGTACCAGAGTCGAGCCCTGAGCTGGGACTGTGGGCACGGGGCTGTGCGGGAGCGACCTCAGTGCGGGGCTCAGCTCCGATCGGTGCTTATTGCCTCCAGAAAACGCTCCTGCAGGGGAACTTCCGGGGGGATGAGGGCTGCGCAGAGCTTTGGGGCTGACAGAGAGCGGAGCGCTGCTGCCACTCGTATCGCCGTGTCCGTCCAGGAGGAGGATCGGCTCCGGGGTGGTGGTCCCGGTCGTGTCTCCGCGACCCTGGCAACCCGCAGCGAGCGGCGGAGCGGAGCGCAGTGCTGTGCCACCCCCGAGCGGGGCGGGCGGCCCACGGTGCCAGGCAAGAAAGCGTGTCCAGCCATCGTTCCTTTGCAGCTTTTATTAAAAATATAAATATTAAACATTCTCTTACACAACAAAATCAACCGAGCGCTGAAAAGATGTTTTATTGTGAAAATGTTGTACAGGGTAAAAGTGGACTCGAAGTAGCGGACAGAGGTTCCCCTCCCGCCTCCCTCCCCGGCACGGCGCTCCCCGTGCTCCCCGCCGCCCCCGGCCGTCCCTGCGGAGCCCTCTCGCTATGGGAAATGGAGAAATAAATAAGGGTCGGGGGGGGGGGCCCGGTGGCACCGCGCGTCCGCGCATGCTGAGGGGGGGCGGCGGCTCGGAGCGCGCCCTTCGGGGTTCGAAGCTCTATAAAAATAAAGAGATGACATCAGAGCAGCACTATGGTACGTCGGGCGGTGTGATGGCTCTGGTGCTGACCGCGGGGTCCCTTTGGCAAGGCGCGGGGGGGTCGCCTCACTTCCCGATGATTTCCATCAGTTTCCTGTTGCTGTGGGCTTGCTGCGCCAGCTGCTCGGCGCGGGCCATCTCCAGCACTTCCCGCAGCAGGTGGAAAGTCAGGTCCAGGGAGATGGGCGGCTCCTCGGAGCGCTTCTCTCTCTCCACCGCCTCCCCCGCTCCTTCGTCCCCCTCGGGGCTCCCCGACCGCTGCAGTTGCGCCGCGGCCGCCCGCAACAACTCGGCGGATGCTTCGGGCCGGAGGTGGCCGCCGGAGGAGGCGGAGAAAGGGCCGGCGGGGCGCTTGGTGAGGTGGCCCAGGCGCAGGAAGTACTCCTCTCCCATGCGGAGCAGGACGGGCAGAGTTTGCTGCTGCTGCTGCTGCTGCTGCTGCTGCGGGAAGAAATCGGGCTGCTGCAGAGCCCCGCGGGCGGCTCCCGGGCTCTTGCTGAGCGCTCGGCACTCGTGGCAGGGCAGCAGGGCGAGCAGCAGGATCCCCGCGCACACCAGTGGCTGGAGCTTCATGGTCGGGGCCGGACCTGCAGCGGGGCGAACGGGTGGGGGACACGCGCGGGTCACACGGCCGGGCTCGGGCGGGGGGCGCGCAGCGCGGCCGCTGTCCCGGTGCTGAAACGCGGCCCCGGCGCACCCCGAGCCCCTCCGCGCCGCTCCGCGCCCCTCCGCGCCCGCCCGCGGCCACCCGGCCCCCGCCCGGCCCCCGCCGTCGGGGCGAGCG